AAAAAAATCACTTATTATAATGGGATTAAATTTATAGAACAAAAGCTTAAAGCTTCATTGAGTAATGAGATTGTTTTGAAAAGCAGTTTTATTTATGTTTGTTTAAAATAATCTTTTAAAATTTTTGCAGGCACTTGGAGGCCTTGTAATAGCTGCTGTTATTAAATATGCAGATAATATTTTAAAAGGATTTGCAACCTCTTTATCCATAATATTATCAACACTGATATCCTATTTTTGGCTACAAGATTTTGTGCCAACCAGGTAATATATTCTTTTCTTTTTCTTTAAGTCTCTTATTAAGAATCTTAATAAGATCTGGTATGAAAAATTTTGTTTAATACAACTTTTGAAGAATCAAGGAAATATAGTAAAAAATCCATTTAGTGGTCTTTTTTTATTTTTAAAAAATTATTTAAATTCAATTTAGTTAATATATAATGTATTATTAGTTTCAGGGGAAGAATTTTTTTTTTTTTAAAGATTTTACTTATTCATTTGACAGAGAGAGAGACAGCCAGAGACGGAACACAAGCAGGGGGAGTGGGAGAGGGAGAGGGAGAAGCAGGCTTCCCACGGAGCAGGGAGCCCGATGCGGGGCTTGATCCCAGGACCCTGGGATCACAACCTGAGCCGAAGGCAGACCCTTAATGACTGAGCCACCCAGGCGCCCCCAGGGGGAGAATTTAGTGATTCTCCTATAACACCCAGTGCTCATTAAATCACGTACCCTCCTTAATGCCCGAGACCCAGTTACCCTATCCCCTACCCATATCCCCTCCAGCAACCCTCAGTTTGTTTCCTAGGGTTAAGAGACTATGGTTCACCTCCCTCTGTTTTTATCTTTTTTTTTTTTTAACATTTTTAAATTTAAATTCAGTTAATTAACATATAATGTATTATTGATTTCAGAGGTACAGGCCTGTGATTCATCAGTTTTATATAATACCCAGTGCTCATTACATCACATGCCCTCCTTAATGTCCATCACCCAGTTACCCTATCCCTCTACCCCCTCCCCTCCAGCAGCCCTCAGTCTGTTTCCTATCATTTAACTGTCTTCTAAAACAGATTTCAAACTAAATGCATAAAAGAAAATCTTCCACTAGAAAGTTTTTTATACAAATTTGACTAGCCAGAATTTTCCCAGTAGATTGGAAAATTTTTTCCAAACTTTTTTTCCCAAAGTAAAATGTCATATAAAAAAGTTCATAAGTCATATAAAGTCATAAAATAAGTCATATAATGGCATTTTTACCTGTGGAATTGATACAGGTAAAGCCAGGAGAGTAGATGACATTCTTAAAGAGGATAGTTTATGTAGAGAATGTGATGCATGAGAAAACTCGTTTAGGTGGTGGCAGGAAGAAGAGTGGTTGGGAAGAGAATTGCAAAAGGAATGATGGGTGAGGCAGGAGACCCTGGATATGCGGTGTCATGGATGCCAAGGGAGGAGACAGAGTCAGGAAGAATGAAGTGTGATTAATACCCATTACAGCTAGTATTGAAGGTCCTATTACTTTTTTGTAATTATTAATTTATGATCCCAGAGTAATGAGATTATATTTTAGTGGATTCCGGGTTACTAGTCTTGGTTTTCCTCTAACTTCACTCCCCTCCTCATCTTCTCAATCTCTAAACTTTGGAGTCTCCGAAGGATCTGTCCTTGAACCTCTTATTTACACTCACTCCCTTGGGTGATCTGTATTCTCAAGGCTTTAAATACCATCTATATGCTGATAACCTTCCCTTCCTTTCTTTCTTTCTTTCTTTCTTTCTTTCTCTCTCTCTCTTTTTCTTTCTTTCAACTTTCACATTTTAATTTGAATTCCAGGCTTGTATATTTAATTGCCTATTTGATATTTTCACTTGACTGTCTACTACATAATTCATTCCCTATCCTTATAAGAGTTTCCCGATTTAGTAAATGGCAGCACCTCCATTCTTCCAGTTGCTTAGGCCAAAATTCTCCTTGACTTAAACAGAACAGTTTATCCACAGTAACCTAAGAGAAGGTCTATACGGTCTATACAGATGTAGACAGACTTAGAAAGTTAAAATATATGGAAGTTCTTTATCTTTTGAGTGAAGTAAGAAGTAAGGTCATCAACTTCTCTTTACCCTTCTCTCACACATCATTCTAATGTAGAAATAAAGCCTGTCACCTCTTCCTTTTTAATATTTCCAGAGTCAACCATTTGTTACAACTTCCATTGCTACCACCCTGGTACAAGGCATACTCATTTATCATTAAGGAAATAGTCTCTTGGTATATCTCCTTGCTTCTTCTCTTGCTCTGTACCCCTGTAATGTTCTCCATTCAGCAAACAGACTGACTATTTTCAGTGTAAATTAGGTATCACCACTCTGCTCAGAAACCTTTTGCTTTCCATGTCACCTAAAAGTTGTCCTTATTAATGGCCTATTTGATAGGCCCTCAGCTACCTTTCTGTCCTCATCTGATACTACTTTCCTCTTGTTCACTCCTTCTTTCCTTCCTCTCCTTCCTTCCTTCCTTCCTTCAGTTTTTTCTTTTTTTTTAATCTACAATAACCTCTTTGCCATAGGCTTTGACTTGCCCTTCAGTCATCTTGAAATACTCATCCCTTATGTATTCCACATGACAAACTCCCTCACATCCTCAGGTCTTGGCTCAAATTTACTTTATCAGGAGACCTCCCTAAATAAAAGAGCACCCCCCCCCATTCTAACAGTCTTTCCTCCTTTCTTCAGATTTATTACCATTTTATAAGTCAGCAAGGCCAGAGCTTGGCCTGTAATAGGTACTCTGTGTGTTTGAATGAATGTTCAAGATCTTAAAATTTTAATACAGCTAGTAAAATTCATTTGTGTTATTGAGAATGAGATAAGATTATGGATGGAATGTGGCAGCAGAAAAACATAATATGCTCTTTATATTTCTATATTGAACATTTATGGTTTCATTCTTCTAGCAACCTGGATAATAGGTCTGGGGCAGGCATGTTGAAATGTATAATTTCTCTGGGGCATGAATTTTAAAGTATTTCCTTTTCTAATTTGGTATGGGAATGAATTACTTAGCTAGTGAGACTAGTGTAACAACTAGGATCTATATCTTAATGATGCTTTAGCCTCTATTCATTAAATGGGGAAATTATGTGCTGATGTATTATTTGAGTATGTTTGGAACTTTAAATTATTTTAGATATTTTGGAACTGTAGATTTTTAGGGTACATTGAAAAAGGCATACCTTTAAAAAAAAAAACATCTCATATAAGGCTGACTCAGGGTGTTAACTTTAAATCTTTGAATCATGCAGGGAATAAACAATGAACAAGTAAATGAAAAAGCAAATCAGTAGAGGGACAAAAGAGAAGTAGTTTGTCAATAAGATATATACCTGCATGTAATTCCATGTTTCTGAGGGACTATGTAAGGTATGTTGAGATGAAGATAATAAGAGAAGACAATGATTCTGTTATTATTGAATGAATGAATGAATGTTTTGACACTGAGTCAGATGAAGGAGATGGATTATTTTTCTTACAGTATAACTAGACCCTCTATCTTTATGTATTCTTATTTTTGTGAAGAACATCTCTTAAGCAATAAATCCAATGACCTCTCTTCCAAATGTATTAATGTGTTTTCCTTTGTTATCCCCATTTCACTTCCTAAAACTGTTTTTTGTTTTATTTTGTTTGTTGTTTTCTCAGAAGTGGTTCCCCTGTACTTGCCTTTCTGACTGCTCCTTTAGTACCCTATCAATCCTTACTCTTTCATTCATCTCATTCACTGCCATGTCTTGTTTGTCTTTTCTGAGAAGATAAGTCCCAACTTCACTTCCACTCTAGATCCCTATTTTCAGCTGACTGCTAAACATCTCTATTGGTATCATATCACCACTATTCCCTTTCCTAACTTACTTTTCTTGTGTTGATTATTTTGCTTATTAGTATTAACCATCCTTATATTTAGGCTTGTTTATTCTTCTATCAAAAATTTACTATGTGTCTTCCTTTCACTCTACCAGATCCTGGACAAACAGGGATGTATGAATGAGATAGGATTTCCTCTCCTCAAGGAGGTCACAGTGATTAGAGAGGTAGACATGTGAATAAATGAGAATTTTATGACCAGTGCATCAGTGAAGTATATATACAATTCAGTTGGAAATCAGGTGCTCAAATCCTTGAAACAGTCATTGTATTCTGATAGTTTTTTCCCAACAAAATTTTTTCTCTCAGAACCATCTAAAAATAGCTGTCTTGACAAGTAGAGGTTTCCTGACATTATTAGGTATTCTAGTAGATCCTGTTAGAAATTTCATAGAATTGGGGTGCTTGGGTGGCTCAGTCATTAAGTGTCTGCCTTCGGCTGAGGTCATGATCCCAGGGTCCTGGGATCAAGCCCCACATTGGGATCCCTGCTCAGCGGGAAGCCTGCTTCTCCCTCTCCCACTCCCTCTGCTTGTGTTCCCTCTCTTGCTGTGTCTCTCTCCATCAGATAAATAAGTAAAATCTTAATAAAAAAAAAAAGAAAGAAAGAAATTTCATAGAATGGATTCCTGCAGTGGGTAGAAAATTGGATCAGACAACTTTTCATTTGAGCTCGTGATTCTATGTAATTCCAGAGGTCCGGAAAGCTAGGCAAAGGTCAGAATGCCTGACAAAGAAAGTTTTCAGTCAGAAGCTTATCCCTAAATAATTATGAAATATTCCTATGGTGGTAATTTTCTTCAAGAGGTACTGTAGGAAGTTTTATGTTATCATAAATTTACATGTGTACCTGCATCCAAGGCTTTTGAAAAGTTGCCCATTTACATCAAACCAACACTAGATATTTATCACAGCAGATAATTAATTGAGCTCCCTCTATATCCTAGGCACTTGGGGTATAATGATGAATGAGGAGCACATGGTTAAGCAGGGGTGCAGACGTGTCAATAATGCGTCATTTAATATGGTTTAATAAATGTTACCATGGAGTACCTCTGCCTAGGGGAATGAGTCTTGGAGACATTAGACCTGAATTATGAATAATCAGTTTTCTTGGGAGAAAGAACATTGCAAGCAGAGGGAGTAGCATCCACAAGGACACTGTCCTGAAAGGCACACTGTGTTCACTGAATGGAGTGGCTGAATTATAGATCAGGTGGGTGGAATATGGGAGATGAGGTCAGAGGGACCACATTAGGAAGGGCCCTTTATGTCATAGTAAGGGTTGTGATCTTTTTCCTTTATAGAACAAATGTTTATTGTTGTAAAGCTCATGGGAGTGACTTTGAACTGTTGATAGAAACTTTAAAACCAAGACTAACTCATGTCCCTGTAATAGTACTTTGAAGAATATACGTCTTAAAAGTTAAGATTGGTATTCACTTTATCTCCGCTTTAAGTTCCAGTACCAGTTTAAATTCGTTTCCAGTTTATAATAAGGTATATTATATCTCTGGATAGATAAAATAAAGACTAAACCAAGTCTACCTGCATTTAATCAAATTTCATTTTGTAAAGCATCCTATGAAATTGGTCCCGAGTTTTGCTTATTACTACCTTGGATTTTAAACTGAACTTTTACTAAAAAAACAAACAAAAAACTAAACTTTACTTTGGTCTCAAAAGAATGCCATTTTCCATTTATATTTTCAAATATTTAAAGTTGAGATCTTTTTTTTTAAGATTTTATTTATTTGACAGAGAGAGACAAAGTGAGAGAGGGAACACCAGCAGGGGGAGTGCGAGAGGGAGAAGCAGGCTTCCTGCCAAGCAGGGAGCCTGACGCGGGGCTCGATCCCAGGACCCTGGAATCATGACCTGAGCCAAAGGTAGACACTTAACGACTTAGCTACCCAGGCGCCCCTTAAGTTGAGATCTTTTATTATTCAGTGTATTGCAGGCAAAAGACATATTAAGGGGAAATACATTTAAAACATCTTTGCTTTGGGAGACAATACAGTGCAGTGGATGAAAGTATGGGCTCTAGAGTCAAACATACCTAGATTTGAATCTTGTCTTCCACTTAAAGTTGTGGGACTTTAAGCAAGTTACTTAAACTCTCTAGCCCTCAGTTTCCTCGTATATAAAAAAATGAGGATAATACTAGTACTTCTTCATATGGTGGTTATAAGAACGAAATGAGATGCATGTAAAACACTTGGCTTGAATACCTAGAATGTAGTATTTGTTAGCCATATTACTGGAACATTTTTTCCCAAGTTATAATTGTTTTTATAAGAGAAGAAATAGAAGTTGTTTTGCTTTTAATCTGATTGTCTCTTTTTCATTTTTTCTTCATCTATTTAGTGTCTTTTTCCTTGGAGCCATCCTTGTAATAACAGCTACTTTCCTATATGGTTATGATCCCAAACCTACAGGCAATCCTACTAAAGCATAGTCGTATACTATCTTTAACTTGTTTTTCACAATGGTGCACTAGGAATCTCAACATTAATCTTGCATAGAGGACTTCTACAGATTCTAAGAAGATATCATCATGCTGAATCTCATCATATTGTTCAAATGGTTTGAAAATATAAAAGTTTAAGGATAAAAAATATGTGTATATGTTAACAAAATACCAATTACATCTAGAAATCAAAGCTTGGAAGTATTTCCAGGGATTAGATTAATTATTGGAGAAAACTTGAAATCTGGGTTTAAAAAGATTTGACCTTTTGATTGCTGCAGAAATGTCCTATGCACTCTTTGCAAGAGCACACAACAAATGTCAGATACCAATTTTTGCAAATTATCTATTTAATCTTATTAAATGTTTTTTATCTTTTTCTGTACAGAAATATCAAATCACATGGAATATTCAAAGTTTGAAAATTATAATTATAATTATAATTGCCTATAAAGCTGTGAAGAAATAGAAGTATGATTTGAAAAACATTTTCATGTATCTGAGATTTTTATATTTATAAAAAAGATAACTAAAGAAAGGATTGCTAAATGTCATTTGTTCAACTACATAAAAATTGATAAAGTTATGTCCTGGGTCTAATTTGTGAGAGAATAAAATTCATATTTAAATTTAGTGTAGGGAAATACACACATCTATTTCTCCCTCTACATTTTAAGATCTTTCAGTGCTTTGAAACTGCTGAAAGCAATCCAGTTGCTCCTGGGCTAGATAGTAGCCAGAGACTGTTGCACTAATGGAGTTTTGTCCTTAATCTTCTAATTGTATTTCTTTTCTGTTAATCAGATAAATCCTTAATATTTCTTTAAATTAAACTTCTGTATGTGGTAATTTCCATTAAAATTTCAAAATGAATTTAAAAGGATTAAATACTCATTTAATAATTTAAAATAATTATTATTGTCTAATATCTCCACTTGGAGAATTTTGAACTATCAAAGCATATTCTGTATGCAACTAAAATGTTTTTAAATGAACATTTTGGTCATTGATCTGTAAAAACTTCCTTTAATCTACAACTGTTAAAAACAACAACCAAAATAATAATAGTATAGATGTCAACGAATTGAGGCCAAAATGACCTTTCTTAGAGGCATTCCAGATTGCCATGATATTATATTATTTTAAATGGCACTATAGCTATAAACTCAAGGCTGCTCAGAACTTTTTGGCCTCTCATAAGCCCACCATCCCAGGAATACTCTGGTCACATGTCTGGGAGAGGTAGCGAATTCTGAGCTCCCTTTCTGTGGCCCTGTAAAAGCTGCTGGGAAGAAGCCACCACTTAGATTTAAGATAGTGGTTTCTTTTCCATTTCGATTAGCACTGGAGTTGAGGTTGTAAATTACATGAGTTATTTAATAAGTTGGCTCAAGGGGGAGAGAAAATATAGCAAAAATGGTAAAGTGAATTGTTGGGCAAGAATACTTTCTAAAATTGGAGTATGGATTTAATTTAATTATTGACTATAGATAGAATTACCTATTATGGATAAGAAGTATTTTACTTTATTTTTTCATTCATGCTTTATATATTTTTAAAAGTCTCCCATTCTAATAGTATAAAAACTAAAAAAAATAAATATTTTTAAAGAGTTATAATGGATTTTGTTAAATAGAATTTGGCTCAAAAATTCTGTGTTTCAAACTTTTGGGTACTTTCGGCTTATTAGGACTGGCTGTGTTACTTTGCTTATGCAGACCACGTCTCTACAGGACACAGGCCTAATCTGTTCCATTCTGAGTTTAAAAGTGATTAAAATTACAAAATATCTTAAATTAGTTTGCTGGTGATTCCAAATTGGAACTAACTAAACTTTCTGGAAGCCTGACCTGTGATTTTCAGTGACCATCTTTTAGAGTATTTGTTTAATAACTTTACCACATTCTGAGCGTGGTGTTTTTAGATTGTAACAGCATTCAGACATCTTATTATCTACTGCTGAGTGAAATCTAAGTCCTGCAAATGCAAAGAATTCAAGAGTACATATAAAGATTTATGTTCAGCTCACATGGAAGTACTAGTTAGGTACTCGTATATATTAAATCAGTGTACATTTACAACTAATTGTTAATTCGGGCTGAGTGTCCCTTCAAAAAATGATGAAAGCAAATATTGGATATCAGACATGTTAGTTACCATAATATATTTTCCGGTGTCCAAAATAACACAATTTTAAGATTCTCAATAAAGTTTATAAAAATATAATCAAGAGTTGTGAGAAAGGACGAAGTAGTCTAAAGCATATTTTCAAACCAAACTTTTATTAGACAAGCTTACTTTATATTTTGCTTTTCTAGTAGACTTAAAGATGTTATTAGAGATTGGGTTGTGTAGCTTATAATTTTTAATTCATAGAGAAAGAATCGTATTTGAGAAGGGGGGCCTGTATCCTAGATCATGTCATTTATACAGATAATGCCATTTTCATATGTCGGTGTGGTGTGTGTTTTGATGACCTCCAAAAGCCTTATTGTATCAATCTTATATAATGACTCCTTGATTATTTAAATTCTTACTTTTTAAAGTTTACTTGTTATCTCTCAACTACTTTGTTCATTATAAAAATGCGCTAATTCATGGGAGAAAAGTGCCAGTTGATAGTTATATTAAAAAATAAGAATATGGTATTTGGGAAGAAAAGTTTGAAATTCAATATGTAGATGTCTCAACACAGTAATATCACCAGTTCTTTAGTAAGTGTTTTTAGGGAAGTTGTAGGCTACTTTTATGGTGGAAACTGTAGTTTAGAGATGCAAAACTTAAATGTTTACATCAATTTATATTGAATGTCACAATTTCATAGAAGGAAAGGTAGTTTGATATTAAAACTAGATTCTAAGGGACAGAAAAGAAACTAATTGACTTTGTGTCCAGTAGACTTAGTGTAATATTGATTATTCTTAAGAATTGATACACTTTTCCTACATATCAAATTATTGGACTTTTAAAATGTCATTGTATAGTCATTCAACTGAGTTTTGTTTTTAAAAATAGGGTTTAGCATCACTTATTTTATTTACACTTTCATTGTTATAATATTTAATTACATGTGGATGTATGCTTTACATAAGAAAAGGTTTATAAATTATTTATGCTATATTGAAAGTCATCTTAAGAATCTCCCAGATATGTAGCATATTTAAAGTAATTACAGGACCAAAGAAAAAGCACCTTTATCAAAATCTGGTCCTATGTGCCTTGCTTTACCAAATACCTGACTTTTCTGGAGGATATTACTGTAATTCACTACTTTGGACACATGGGGAAATTGACGTTTTATGAATAACTATAATTCAATTTTTTGGATGTTTCAACATTTGCTCTTTAAATCCATTATCTAACAGAATATTAAAATAGGTATATTATATAAACATTAGTAAACAGTACTTATTTAAATAAATTATGCACCATTGCTCCATCATTGAGTTTTTGAAACTTTAACAAATGTATATAGCTGTCATTTGGTTGTTTTATTTCTTATTATGAGATATAATTTACTGTGATTTTTAAAATATTTTTTTAATGATTTGAATTCTGAATTTGTTTATATGTCTATGTATTTCATTTGTTTAGAAAGATTCCTTTGAGTTTGGGAATGTGATTTGTATATTTAAATTTTTTATGGACATAATTTAGAGGAATGTATAAATTCATCTTTTGTTAAATGGCTTTTTAATGGATCAATTTCTCTTTGTCATTTTTTGGTCTCCAGTTATTATCTATTCAGTAGATTAATGAAAAAGATTTCCATAATTAATCATATAAATTTCTTCCTGTATTTCCTTGTTTCCCTTTTCACCTGTGTTTGACTTAACTGATTTAGACTCCTTACCATATATCAGAAATGACTCCTATCCTTTCCATTTCTCTCTAGTTACCTTTATCATGTGTGATCTTCCTTCCTTTTTTCTAGCCTATGCTCTAGCATGGAAGACTGGGTTTTACTTAAACTAGTTAGAACCTCTCTATCTGTGTGGTAATAGCCTAATTTTTTTGTTCTTGTTTTAAATAAATTATCTCTTTGCTAGCCTCAAGGTTAAGTAATTACAGTAATTGGTATATATTTTCTTCATAAATCGTTGAATATAATTGCTTCTATTGTGACTATCAATTCAGTGCATAGAGATCAAATGATAAGCAATATAAAGGATTTCATTTCCACCTCTGTTAGTGAAATAACGTTGTACAAAGTGCTTTGTTTTAAAAGATCACTAAAGAGTATCAGCATTTAATTTATTTAAGAATATCAGCATTTTAAAAATGGATACTTAGGTTTCTTCTTGGAAAAGAATTAACTGAAAATCTTTACATCTTTTCAGAATTGGAATACTTCTTTTGTTGGAAGTATATCACAATCCTTGAATCTCAGTGCTATGCAAATATACCTCATAATTCAAATCTTATAATTACTGCTATTCAACAGAGTCAGATAGTGACCATCATTAGTAAATGGTCTTTCTTACGGTTCTTAAAAGTTTTGAATTCCTTCAAAGCAGGATTGATTATTACATACATGTTCCAGAAAAGAAAATAGCAAAGAGGAAATAACTTGCCTTCAAACGCCAAAGATATGAAATTCTACTATAGTAGAGAGTGTCTTGGTGACTGCAAGTTCATGGGTTTCCCAAATTTACCTTCAGGTTCAATAATTCACTAGAAAGACAGAACTTACTGAAAGCTATTACGCTCACAATCACATTTATTACCAAGAAAGAATGCAAATTTGAACCAGCTGAAAGAGAGGCATCTAGGGTAGAATCTAGGAGGGGTTCATATTCCAGTTGTCCTTTCCAGTTGTCTACTCCCTGTGGGGTCCTGGACAGTGTTATTTATTCCTGGCCACAGTATACACACAATATTGCCAATCAGGAAAGCTCACTCATGCTTTGGTGTCCAACTTTTTATTGAAGCTTTATTACTTGGCATGATTGATTCTTTGCCCACAGGGTTGAACTCTCCAGCCCTGCCCCTCCCTGGAAAACTGGCTGACATCAAGTTACAGGGGTTCATCCTGAGTCAGCTTGTTAGCATAAATTATCAGGTATGAGGTCCTAAAGATGTAGGCCAGAACTTTCTTTGGGTAAAGCCAAATTCCTTATTACATAGTGACCATTTGTGTCTATACACATTCTTCTGAATTGATGAGGATGACACAAGCAATGACTTTTACACTTTATGATTTTAATTTCAGAAGTGTTGTCAAATGATTCTGAACATACAACTTGAGGGTAGAAAAACGTTTATAATCAGATGCAGTGCTAAGTAGCACATATAGTATTCATTTAGTTTTCAGTTCTGATGTTAAATGACTTTATAAATGCTGAACTATTTTTTAAGAACAATAAATTATACTGTATGTTCATATACAATTTGAGCTTATTTATTTCTTACTTATTTTATATTTTGCCATTTGAAAATTACAACATGAATGTCTCTCTGGAGGGACTTCTTGCTTTAACTGATACTTATTTTTTTAAAAGTCTGTTACATGGTAATATAGTATTTTATTTATTCTGTCCATTAATAACTAATATTTGAGAACATTTATATATTAATGGAATTTAAAAGAAGTTCAACTTGCTTTTTCTGACATTTCAATACTGGGTATAAATAAGAGAGTCAAAATAGTTAATGGTCAAAATTATTAACGTCAAAAACATAGTAAATGCTTGGTTTTAGTCTATATAGAATTCAGTTTTCAGCATAAAGTTCTGTGGCTGTAAGAAAGAACATTTGGTTTACTTCACTAATAGGAGTATCTCTTAATGCTGGTATGGCCTTTTCTTAGTATGTCTTCTGCTCTTGATCTTTAGCATAGTTATCTAAGATGATT